CCTTTAAATGTTATAATAATGTATTTTTACCAAGCATATAAGCAGGTGTCAATTAGTTGAGTCAACACATTTCATAAATCTATATTTTGACTAGTAAGAATACTATTTTATATATAAATTACTTATACTTATAAACTTATAAAATATTAATTAAACAAGAGTAGGTAGTCATAATATTTTAACTTTGGTTGGTTAGTTATGTCTTTTGCTTGCATCGTTTTATTATTATTTGAATAAGATATAAAATATTTATTTTGTGGCCATAAAAATGTATTATAATGGGTGTCAATTGGAGTTTCACTCATTTTACAAAATGGATCTGAAAACGTTACTATTGCAACAACCAGGAAATGTTAAATAGCAAAGTGTTTTTGTAATGCGGTCATTGGGAGCTTGGATGAGGTAATTTAATTTAGCGGTTTTACCAAAAGCCTCTCCCACCCAAATCGTTTTTTATTCGTCCACATTTCTCGGTGTACCTAGAACAACACTGATCCAAAAGCAAACAAACAAGTTATGCACCCAAGGGATGTTATGTACGTCGACGGCATATTTACCGAAGCAACAAATTTATTGATCATTTGCAAAGCTCAAGAGAGAGAGAGAGAGAGAGAGAGAGAATAGAAGGGTTTGAAGTTCTAAAAAATTAATCTTTCAATTCGATGAATGTTTACTTGAATGTTGTGTTTGAGGTCGGTAATGATGACGAGGTCTTTGGTCTTGTCCAGTGCAGCTAAAACTGCGTCTTGCTGTGCTAACATTGATCGCATCGCCACATCTTCTTTTTCCAGCTGTTGCAACTCTTTGATCCATACGTTTTTGTTGCATGTTTCTACTATTATCTGTAATAATGTTTTTGTTACTACATTTAATCAAACGTAATGTTATACCTAAATACGTACTCGCATATACATTATACAAATATACATAATCTTATATATTATACATAAAGCATCATAAAATATTTATCAAATAATGTGAAACATCGAATTATGAATATTTTACATATAAAATATAATCAATAGACAATAGCTGGTTACCATTTTTTAAATTATAATAGTAATAATATATTATTATAGTAATATTAAGTATTAAATTAGAACAAGGGAAAACAGAATGGTTTCTCTATAATACAAATCTTCAAATTTTAAACTGTAATTTCCTTACTATATTATTTCTCAATTTTAAATAAATTACAATAATAGTTTTAAAGTTTAAACAAAGATAATTTTTTCTCTAGATATGAAGTAGAATGTTCTTATACTAAAAAAATAAATAATTTCAGTTTGATGATACTAATATTAGATTTAGGTACTGCAGGGTAGGCATTTCAATATTTATAAACTTCCTTTAAATTTATGATTTAACCTTTGAAATAACTTTTCTTTGTTGGTATTTGTTTTATCTTTGTATCAAACAATGAAAAGAAACAAAATTAAATGAAGGTTTCTGATTGTTACGAGTTATCTTTGCTTCTTTGAAAGGTTCAAAATGACCATAATAATATTTTCTTCTCGGGTCAGCAGTTAGAATACCTAAAATATCTGAAGCCGTTAGATTTATTTTAAATTTAATTTTTATTCATAAGGAAATTAATAAAACTTGGTAAGTATATATTGTGACATTAATCACTAAAAAGTATCCAACTAGGTAAAACTTGTTTTTAACTTTATCAAATATAGTAAGAAGAAATGATTTCGGTGCATAATAATCTACAAAATTATTAAAATATTAATGATACATTAAAAAAAAAAAAATTAAGTCTGAGAACGATCTATAGTACATGTATGCAATTGTATTAATTTAAAATAATGCAAATACCTAATAAATCTTACCATAGATCACACCAATATATAAAATATGATTCACTATAAATTTCCGTTTTTTATTTCATTATTTATGGCACACATCCTTTTTCAGTATTTCTTTTTCCCAGTCAATAAATTAACCTTCGAAAATCACTGGGCGTATCAGCAATAGCTTTTAAAATATATTGAGTACAGAAATATAGAGCCTTTTAAAACCCTAACAAACCAATTTAATTTAGCTTATAAAATAATGAAGTAATTACAGATAAAAATATTCGAATGACGAAGGAGATAATTAAAAAAATATTATTAATATTATTAATTAATTAAATATTGCTAGTTCTTATTAGAAACAAACAAACAAATCGATACATTATAGTTAATTCAAATCAATTGAAATAACAATAATTTCTTACTACCTACCTACCAAAAAAAAAAAAAAAAATCAGAAAAAGAAAAAAAATTATGAATCAGAATCTAAAAACGATATCTAGAATAATTAATGATATTTAACTAAGCCGAACACTAAACAACGTATTTATCGACAACTATTTGAGCTTTTAAATTTTATATAGGTTATTTCAACATCGATAGTTATTGTAATTATTAATGATACAATTATTTTTGGTTTTAGAGACCAGTTGGTTCTGTTTATTAACAAATTAGAGTTATGAATGAAGTTTATTTCAAAATACTCAACAGTAAAAATATTATATACCTATGTTAGAAATCACAAGACGTAAGTCATTTTATAGTATCTGTATACGAAATGTTTTTCGAGTTTATAGAAATTCTTACAAAAATATACAATGACAATCTTTGAATTATTTTATAATTTATTATGAAAATAGAAATTAAAATCAATCAGATTTTTTTAAATGTTTTGTGTATGACACAATTACTATATTAACCAAATAATTGGGCTGGGTGATAATTTTTATCTCTGTTCAATCTACATATACAAGAAAACAAAAAACAATCCAAGCGAAAAGCTAATAAAGCATTCACAGAGGTTATTGATATAACATAAAATACTTAATTAAAATGTTATTTGCTTTTATGAGTTTAACTACTTTAACGCTGCAAATATAATTAAAGCATGACAAAGATATAAAAGTAAAATCATATAAACATTTAAAAGCAGTAAGTATCTAAATAAAATAATATTTATTTTTTTGTCCTTTACATTCTAAAATATCAAGATTATTTTAAATCTCTTAATCATTGATATATTAAAATATTTTCTATATTAAATTGCTTTTAAAACTTATGTTAAATATTATATAATTGTAGCCAACTAAAGACTGATGTTTTTAAAAGGAAAAATTAGGCAATTTTACACAAAATATAAAATAGTACCTAGTAATAATTAATAATAAAGTAATAATTTGTTTTTAAATTTATAGGTAAATTATAAAAACGAACCATAAATAATAACGTATACCTATATGGCTATATATCTGAGATTATATTTTAAGAAAAGAAAAATAATAACCCTTACGTCTTATCGTATATAAAATAACACAAAATATATTATAATTAAATTAAAGAAGATTATGAAAAATTATTTTGTTGAGTATTTAAAAATGGGGTTTCTAACCAAATTTTTTATTTTTATCTTGTACAATTAAATTTAGCAATGGAATGGATAAAAATAAAAAATAACACCTACCTTATTAAATCCACTGGTTAAAATGGACGTAACGTCTTTTTCGTTTCTCAACACAAGGCTGAAAAAAAAACAAATACGTTATACTTTATCAACCAATGAGGTTTCGCATCATTGCCCATCGAATTACAGTATGAGTGTAAAGAAATTGATTACCTTTTCCTTACTAAAGCGACAAGTACAACGTGAGCATTCCTTTTAATCGAACGTAACGACCTAGGGACAATAATAAAAAAAAATAACACTCAATCAATACTTTTAGTATCTATATACCTATTTAAAATTAACACAAGGAAATATTAAATTCCTAATACAAAAACTTATTGTTTATACATAATATGTATATTGTATATTCTCTAGTCTAATACTATAAAATGAAGAACAGCTGACTGATAATATTGGTTTCCAATGGAAAGGAAAACGCCGGCTATAGCGAACCCTTGGCGTAAAAAATGAAGCACTGCTCCGTTTCCCCAGCCCGCCGGCCATGTCCCGTCGATTCCTTATAGCGCGACCAATCGCGTACCTTCGCAGTGGCGGCGGTCGGTTTTAAAACGTTTTTCGTTATCACCTCTTTTCCTATCATTTCGCCGATTTTCGGAAAATTAGCTGTTTTTACACGATATCTTTTCGCCCTTTTATATACTTAATTCGAAGCCACCGGTGTGCGGTTTATATTCGTGCAATGTCGATCAATAAATACACTCCGACAGGACTTTTTTGCCGATATTTTCCTTTTCTCCCACCGTTTCGTCTATTCGCACCCTTTTGTGCCCGAATCGAGTCTTTTTGAAGCCGTTTATATGCGCTTTTCCCCCAAAATCGGTTCGTTCGCCTCGCAATCGCGTTTGGAAATTACGCCGGCGACCGACCGGCCGCACGCGTATATATACATGTATATACGTGTATAATTTAATTTTTCCTTATGATTTAATAATTATTAACGGAAAACGCTTTCACACGCCCCGTTAAATATATAATATATGGGAGATGCGAGTATTACAAGCGAATTATATGCGATAACATCGATGTACATCGAATATATCGGTTTACGTCGCTCCGTAGTGGCGTAGTCGCACGGCTTAATTGTTAATGTTTTCACTGTCTTTCATATCTCAAACTGTGTCCGAGTAGGTTAGGCGTTAGGTAGGTAGCACTAGGTCCCGGGTTCGAATCCGAATTTAAAGTCATTATCATTTTATATCACACAATAAATAGGTACATATTATATTTGTTTTATTAGGAATTATTATAATTGCATATTTTTTAAAATTTCCATGATTGTTATATAAATATAGTTTGTATTTTATTTCGGTTTGCCTACCTAGGTGGCTAACTTGAAAGTTAATCTTGATTTTGACTTGAGAGTTGAGATGACTGACTTGCTAGACACTCCAACACGGTTTTTGACTTTACACTTTTTACATAAGAAAAGGCACCGGACATGCGAAGGCACATACCACTCTATGTGATATACCTACTATATAATAGGTGATAGACGGATTGCTCATTTTAGTTTCGTCTTAAACGGTGATGATTGACTTGATAGACACTTTAACAAATAACATGCAGGTTTTTGCAATTTTTTTTAAATTAATATATATACACTATAAGTAGGTACATGTTTATATGTATTGGTTAATATAATAGTATGTATCTAACTATCTACCTATATGTTAATATTTTTTAGGAATTATAATTGCACATTTCTCAAAATGTTCATTGTTATATTATATCACACAATAAATACATATCATATTTGTTTGTATGTATATAGTTTGAATTTTTCGTAAATTATTTCGTAAGTTGTGTGATAGGGTTTTCACTTATAGCCGCTTGATGTCGGGTCTGCAATCCACCGCAGGTGGATTGCCTACCTGATTTGCTGTAGCACATGGTCCGCGATCCGACGAAGTCGGATGCCTACCTAAGTGGCTAACTTGAAAGTTAATAGATTTTGACTTGAGATGACTGACTTGCTAGAAACTCCAACACGGTTTTCGACTTTACACTTTTTACATAAGATAAAGCACCAGTCATGCTACGGCACATACCACTCTATGTGCAGGTATACTCTATATAGGTGATCCTGGAGATCGTATCAGGCCTATCCATTTACAACGTTTGTGACGGATTGCTAGACACTCAAACTTTTAACATTCCCGCCAAAGCGTCTAGCCTTATCTCCAATCCATATCACTAATCCTTATCACAAATCCTAAACTTTCATCTTACAACCTTTGCGACATTTATAATTCATTGTCTCCAAAATCGGTACCCACTCTCAGCGATTCCAACGGGCCCCGAGTTATACTTAGAGCTAGTAAGACAATAAAGTTATTAAAATTTAA